AAGACCAGTGAGCTTAGGACGATGTGCCTGCAGGTCTCCATAGCTGCGTTGTACTACAGCCCTCCGCTGCTTCTCAACACCCTGGAGAACCTTCGTTTCCCCAACACGGTGGAGCCGGTCACCAGTCATTTCATCAAACAGTGGCTGAATGACGTGGACTGCTTCCTAGGGTGAGTGGAGACATCTGGCTGTGTTTTATAGCATTGAATTTCCCCAATTTTGAGGAGGTCTGGCGCCGCCTGCCCCTCCCGGTCTGGCGCCGCCTGCCCCTCCCGGTCTGGCGCCGCCTACCCCTCCCGGTCTGGCGCCGCCTGCCCCTCCCGGTCTGGCGCCGCCTGCCCCTCCCGGTCTGGCGCCGCCTGCCCCTCCCGGTCTGGCGCCGCCTGCCCCTCCCGGTCTGGCGCCGCCTGCCCCTCCCGGTCTGGCGCCGCCTGCCCCTCCCGGTCTGGCGCCGCCTGCCCCTCCCGGTCTGGCGCCGCCTGCCCCTCCCGGTCTGGCGCCGCCTGCCCCTCCCGGTCTGGCGCCGCCTGCCCCTCCCGGTCTGGCGCCGCCTGCCCCTCCCGGTCTGGCGCCGCCTGCCCCTCCCGGTCTGGCGCCGCCTGCCCCTCCCGGTCTGGCGCGCCGCCTGCCCCTCCCGGTCTGGCGCCGCCTGCCCCTCCCGGTCTGGCGCCGCCTGCCCCTCCCGGTCTGGCGCCGCCGCCCCCCTGTTTTATAGCATTGAATTTCCCCTCCCGGGTCTGGCGCCGCCCCCCTCCCGGTCTGGCTAGCCCCCGCCTGCCCCTCCCGGTCTGGCGCCGCCTGCCCCCCCTCCCGGTCTGGCGCCGCCTGCCCTCCCGGTCTGGCGCCGCCTGCCCCTCCCGGTCTGGCGCCGCCTGCCCCTCCCGGTCTGGCGCCGCCTGCCCCTCCCGGTCTGGCGCCGCCTGCCCCTCCCGATTTTTCTGGCGCCGCCTGCCCCTCCCTTGGGTCTGGCGCCGCCTGCCCCTCCCGGTTTCTGGCGCCGCCTTCTCCCCTCCCATTTTTGAGCTCCGAAAGTGTCAAGTTCTCGCCAGTGGGGGGGGGGGAGGGAGGGAATCTGGAGAAGTCTGCGTGTCTACTGGGATTGTGTTTTACAGGATTGGTCATGCTAATGCAGGCCATACATGGTTCGATTGCCGAGCGATTTTCCGTCCGAAAATCAATGTAAATTGTTCGCTCGGTAATCGCCATCAATGACTTCGAAAATCAGCTGACCAAAGTCCTAAAGTTCACCCCGTATAACAGACGAAACTTCTGTTTCTTCCAGGTCACGGCTATCAATGCGCATATTCTTTTTGGGAAAAAACGATCGTACGATTTGACTATCATTGAGTCGAAAATCGTTAGTTTTTTACAAATTTTCCAACATGCCCGATCACCGAAAAGGGAAGGAACCACGAAAATCAGTTGGTGCATTGACCCCACTAACAAAGTGAAAAGATTTCGGCCGACCTTTATTATGTAAAGTGAACGCCCCCAAAAGAACGGAACGCTGACTGGATTACTGCAGAGACATCACAATGATATAATACATCAAAACAAAAAAATGACAAAATACAATATATACCAAATATTAACTAATGGTGTACAAAATAAAATCACTTTAAAATTGATATTTTTGGGTTTTTTAGCTCTCAGTATTTGACCGCTATCATGGCCTGGCAGGAAGAAGACTGCAGCCTGGCACTGGGCCCTCGGCCTGGAGGTTGGGGGTAACACCAGTATAATGGCCGCTACAGAGCAGGCCCCCAGTATAGAGGCCGGTCTGTAGAAATGGCCGTAGAAATTGGCAGTTTGTGGTCAATAGATTTCATGGTTCACTGAAGCTTCTCACTTAACGCATGAAACTGGCAGAACATTGATTGGTTCTCATCTCTGATTTCCAAGTGACTTTTAGGTTGTCAAAGCCAACGTTTTGATGACCAATTTTTTTTCTTTTTTTGGCGCTCATCTAGGTTACACGATCGGAAAATCTGCGTCCTCGGCCTGTGCGCCCTGATAGAACTCGATCAGAGGCCGCAGATCCTGGGCGAAGTCTCCACGCAGATCCTGCCCGCCTTCATCCTCTTATTCAACGGTCTGAAGAGAGCATACGCCTGCCATGCAGAGCAAGAGAACGACAGCGATGATGACGAGGATGGAGAGGACGACGATGAAGCCGGTAAGTGCGTCTGTTTAGATATTCCAGGGCTTCAGTGATGGTTTACTTTTTTTTTTTTTTCTCTCCCCTAGTGATCTCTGTTGACTAGATCGGAGGGGGAGGTGTTCTGTAGTCTTACCCTAGGGCGGGGTTGTTGTACTCGCTTTCATCGTTGGCCGCATCTGCACTTTGGTTCCATCAGCTGATTGGATCTGTAAGACTAGATGTCCAGAGCACCCCAAAGCCCCCCCCCACCATACCAAGTCAAGAGTCGTCCCCCACCCTCCGTTGCTTCGCAGTGCATCCCTCTTACCTTGTGCTGCTACCAGGAATAGGCTGAGGGTGGAGCAGAGAAGCAGAAAGTGCAGTGTCTGGAGGAGGACCAGAGGATGGCTGCCGGGGCCCTTGTGGGGAGGCTGCGGGGGCCTGTGTGGGGAGGCTGCCGGGGCCTGTGTGGGGATGGCTGCCGGGGCCTGTGTGGGGGGATGGCTGCCGGGGCCTGTGTGGGGGGTGGCTGCCGGGGCCTGTGGGGTGGCTGCCGGGGCCTGTGTGGGGGGGTGGCTGCCGGGGCCTGTGTGGGGGGTGGCTGCCGGGGCCTGTGTGGGGGGTGGCTGCCGGGGCCTGTGTGGGGTGGCTGCCGGGGCTGCCGGCTGCCGGCGCCTGTGTGGGGGTGGCTGCCGGGGCCTGTGTGGGGGTGGCTGCCGGGGCCTGTGTGGGGGGGTGGCTGCCGGGGCCTGTGTGGGGGGGCGGCTGCCGGGGCCTGTGTGGGGGGGGGGCGGCTGCCGGGGCCTGTGTGGGGGGGCGGCTGCCGGGGCCTGTGTGGGGGGCGGCTGCCGGGGCCTGTGTGGGGGGTGGCTGCCGGGGCCTGTGTGGGGGGTGGCTGCCGGGGCCTGTGTGGGGGGCGGCTGCCGGGGCCTGTGTGGGGGGCGGCTGCCGGGGCCTGTGTGGGGGGCGGCTGCCGGGGCCTGTGTGGGGGGCGGCTGCCGGGGACTAACCTGTGGGGGGCGGCTGCCGGGGCCTGTGTGGGGGGCGGCTGCCGGGGCCTGTGTGGGGGGCGCAGTACAGAGACTAACTGCTGAGATAAGGTGGGGGTGGAGATGAGGGGGCGGGGCCACAGCTGCAGGAGGGGTGCAAGGGCCACATGGAATGGTCTGGCAAGCACCTTTTTGGTGCAATAAGTAGTTCATTCGGGCCAAGCTGGGGTATTAAAGGGGCATTAAATGTGGATCAAAGGTAAGTTTTTTTGTGTTTTTTGTTTTTTTCTTGTTTTTTTTCCTTATGGATGCCCGGGAAGGGCGCCTCCTACTGTCCAGGCAATATAAAGGCTGTGATGAGCGCATTTGGGGTTAACCCCTCGCCTACCGGGCACTTCTACCCCCTCCCTGTCCCAGGTCAATTTTCAGCTTTCAGTGCTGTCACACTTTGGATGACAATTGCGCAGTCATGCAACACTGTACCCAAATGAAATTTTTTCTTTTTTTTTTTTTTTTTTCACACAAATCGTTTTTTTTTTTTTTTTTTTTTTGGTGGTATTTACTCTCCGCTGGGTGTTTTTTCTTTTTGCAAACTTTTTGCTCTGTTTTTGAAAAAAAAATGTTTTTTTTTGCACTATAAACAGGTAATTATAGGCAGCCCTGCTGGGCCCTGATCATCAGTGCTGATCCGCCCTCTGACAAATGTCAGTTATCGACAGTCCTCACGATGTGACCGCATGAGGAAAGTGCTGCCGGCAACTGAATTTATTGGTCATCTGCTGTCATTGGACACGGCTGATCATGTGATAAAAGGCCGCTGTGATTTGGCTTTTTACCACCTCACGTGATCAGCTGTGTCCGTAATACACGGAGATCGACGGAGGATGGCGTGTTCTGGGAGGACGTCATGTGACGCCCTCCCAGAACTGGACAACCGCTCTGTAACCGTCATTCGGCTGTAGCCCGGTTGGCAAGTGGTTAATCCTTGAATGTTCTCTGCAGAGCTGGGCAGCGATGAAGATGACATCGATGAGGAGGGACAGGAATATCTGGAAATGTTGGCGAAACAAGCCGGAGAGGACGGCGATGACGAAGATTGGGAGGAAGATGATGCGGAGGAAACGGCACTAGAAGGTTATACGACTCTGATCGATGACGAGGATAACCCCGTAGACGAATATCAAATATTTAAAGCTATATTTCAGAGTAGTTTTTTTGTGTTGTGTGTTTTTTTTGTTTGGTGTGTTTTTTTTGGTTTGGTTGTTAGTGTTGTGTGTTTGTGTTTTTTTTTGTTTGTGTGTGTGTGGTGTTTTTTTTTTTTTTTTTTTTTTTTTTTTGTTTGGTGTGTGTTTTTTGTTTTTTTTTTTTTTGTGTTTGGTGTGTTTTTTTTGTTTGGTTTGGTGTGTTTTTTTTGTTTTTTTTTTTTTTGTGTTTGGTGTGTTTTTTTTTGGTTTTTTTTGTTTTTTTTTTTTTTTTTTTTTTTTTTTATTGTTTGTTTTTTTTTTTTTTTTTATTGTTTGGTGTTTTCCTTCTGACTGCACTTTTTATAACATTTCCTGTAAAGTTGTGATTTTACCTTTTTTTTTTTTTTTTTATTTTTGTACCAAAAAGATGAAGTATAAATGAGTACATCTACTACTTCACTTAGAAGGGAAGAAAGGACAAAAGCAATATAAAATAAAATTAACAGACATATAATCATTAAAGTGGAACTTTACTCAAAAAGTGGAGACCTGCCGGTTCCCTGGAGGCACAGAAATGACGTATGGCAGACGCTGGAGGAGGGGCTTGGGCATAGTGCATTGCAGTATTTAACCAATTCCTGTCCATAGGACGTCATGACGTCCTGGAGTTGAAGTGGAGATTTCGGGATGATGCCTCCCGGCGCCTTTCCAGGCTCTCCCGTGAGGTCTAAAGCCTGCTATCTGATCAGGTGGTTATCTTAGAGCTGCGGATGGTTCCCGGCTATTTCTATGGTCATGGGAGGCCAGAAGCGTCATGACGTCACTCCTAGTTCTGGCAAATGTAATCCCCAGATATATATTTTTTTTTTTTTTTTTTTTTTTTTTTTTTTCTCCATAAAGAGGACTCATCATGGCTGATGTCTCTCACAAGGGATGTTTATATTTCTTGTGCTGGGAGTAAAAGTGATTTAATAAGAAAAAATTAAAGGACAGGGTAAAGAAATAAAACATTTTAAGCACCCCTGTCCACCGGTGTTCGTGCGCAGCAGTGAACGTATACACGTCTCCCCCGCACGTGAGCTATAACGGGGCCCCGCGGCCACCGTGTGATTTTAAAAAAAACAAAAATGCTTTTATCTGTGTCCGATGGTACAGTGGGAACGTCGCATGCGTTGTTCATGGAGGAGCAGCTCATGTTTGCCTTTTTAGCACATGCTTTCCTTTTTAATTGACGCTTGAGTATATAGATGTTTTTGTGGTTTTTATTGTAGAGCTGCAAGGACAGGATCCTGGCTGGTATCAAACGCTTACTCAAGGACTCAGCGAAGAGCAAGGAAAACAATTACAAGACATCGTCACGCTGGCAGATCAGAGGCGAGCAGCTCACGGTAAATGCAGTACAGTAACATTTTATTCCGCCTGATCCTAGTTCACACTGGCTTTGGGTGTCAGCCGGGGAAGAGCGCCGCAAAAAATAATAGTCAAGACGTTAAAGCTTCAACTTTCAGCCACAGATACAGTGAGAGCCTTGAGTGATCCTTCTACCTGTACTCAAAATAATTTATTCCCAGAACCCCAAAAAAATTATAATAAATTATAATAAAAAAATATAATAATAAAGCATTATTATCGTTGTTGTTTTTTTATTTTGTATGATTTTATTGATAAATTATTGCTTTTTTTTTTTTATATTGTGCAGTCCTTTTCAATATACTGTCTTTCCTGTACATTGTAATTTTCAGTGTGATGCCAAGCGGGTTAGGAGGGGGCCCCCGCTTGTGATGCCAAGCGGGTTAGGAGGGGGCCCCTGCTTGTGATGCCAATTTGAAAAGGGGAGGGGGACAGATGATGTAGAAAGTTCTAGCTGCTAACTAGAGGCAGGATAGGCTTTTCTGAATAGGTCAGTTTTCAGGGATCATCTAAAGGCAGACACAGTAGTGGATTGGACAGACTGGGGTAGGGAGTTTCCAGAGGATGGGCAGAGGTTCTGGACTGATTGGGGTAGACTGGTAGAGGATGTTTCACAGATAAGAGCCTCTGGAACTCACCCCTACCCCAGTCTGCGCAGAGCCTCTCCCGTCCTCTGGGACTTTCACTACCCCAGTCTGCGCAGAGCCTCTCCCAACCTCTGGAACACCCCCTTCCCTAATCCGCCTATAGCCTCTCCTATCCTGTGAGCAGATCTGGAGAAAGTGGGGTATGGATGGGTTCCACACTGGGGGTAGGGGGGAGTTCTAGGATGGGAGAGGTTATGATTTGATTGGGGCATGGGGCAGTTCCAGAGAACGGCAGAGGCTCTGCACAGATTGGGGCAGGAGGGAATTCCAGAGGCTCTGCACAGATCGGGGCAGGGGTGAGTTCCAGAGGATGGCAGAGGCTCTGGAGGAGAACATTGGAGCAGGAGATGAGAATGGGAGTTCTGAGGAACGAAGAAGACTGGGTAGTGGTGGTTTTGAGATGTGGTTGGATGTGGAGCTCGGGGCTGAATTGGCAGAGAGGGGTGGTGGACATGGGGTGTATGTCTGGCAGTTTTCATGATTATGGGGGGAGGTAGTCTGTATAAAGATAAGCCAATGAGAAGGTGCAAAAGTTGAGGTGAGGGATAACAAGGGCGTGAATTAGAAGCTTGGTGGTATCTGTCCAGAAGGGCTGTATTTTTGGAAATTAGCTTTAGCCTTGTTCAATCGGTCAAAGGCACTCCTTGACCGACGCCCAAACTTACCCCAGATGTATCCAGTCCATTTTATGGCCCTTAGAATTGAGTTGTTGGTGTTTTCTTCAACTTCCAGAACCAACCAATGGTTTCAAACAAATTTGTGCAACCCAAGTCCAGGCTGGTTGTTCTCCTAACTAACATCCGCAGGGGAATCCGTTTTTTTTTGTTTGGCTCCAATGTTAATCAGTTTCTCCTTCTTCACAGAATCCAAAATGATCGAGAAACACGGAGGCTACAAATTCAACGCTCCAGTTGTGCCAAGTTCCTTCAATTTTGGCGGGCCCGGCATGAATTGAGCTGTCGCTTTCCTCTTCCTGCTAACGTGTGACTGATTGTAGTGAAGAAGCTTGTGTTCCTCCCAGTAGCGGTTCCAGAACCGGTTCACGCTCTCCGTCGTCGCCCAATCCTGAACTCTTTGACATCCATTGGAAATCTGGAATTTTTTTTTTTTTTTTTTTGGGAGAGCGCGTCATGAAACACCCGGCCCTGGGACAGCAAACAGAGGGGTTTCTGAATTTTGTTTCCTCTTTTTTTTTTTTAAAAAAAAGTTTTTTCTTCCAAAAATAAGAGCTCAATTTCCAGAACACGCTGAGATCTGAAAACCGGAGGGGGTCATGTCACCGAGGCAGCTTTGTATTTGTAAAAAGGAAAAAAAAAAAAAAAAAAAAATATTTTTCCCTCTTTTGCAAGGGGAGGGGGGAAAGAGAGACCATGTGCGGGGGGGGCAAACAGGGGACTATTTAATCATTCAGCACTCATGAGGGCCAATTTCCATTTTACGTCACCAGTTTTAGTGTAATAGCTTCTAACACATTTCTGTTTTTGCCTCAGATTGGTGTTCGGTCTTTTATTGTAAACATTAAAAAAAAACACAACAAAAACCCACAACAAACCCCAATGGAGGCAAATGAATTGTAGCCTTAGGTTAGGCTCTTCCTGATCCCGGATCGACTTGACTGTTCCTGAATGTCTGAACACTTGTAGCACTACACCAACGACTTACGATGTACATGACAGCACTTTTATATGGAAAGTTAATCCTGCTCACCCTGTGTACAAATTGGCCGCGTCTCTGCTGTTTATATATTATACAGAAAAAAAAAGGGATCGAATTTAGGGACAGCTTCAAGTCAAAAGGGGTAAAACTTGACGGTCAATTTTTTTTTTTGTTTTGTAACTGGTGACTTTCGTGGGGGGGGGGGAAAGTCACTTCCTGGTCGTGACTTGAATCTGGATCTGTAAAAAAAAAAAAAAAAAAAAAAAACACAAACCGAAAAAAAAAAGAAAAAATTAAGGTTAAGTAATAATTCATTGCTGCTACAATTGGCAACACCCTCTGTGTCCTTTTTTTTTGTTTTGTTTTTTTTCCCCCCCCCCTCCTGACTTCTCTAAATGTACGAGTTCGATTTGGATACAAAGTAAGTCATGTAAGCGCTGAGATAAAATCCTGGTTTATCTGCTGACGCATGTACAAAAAAACAAAATAATAGGAGATGAAGGTGTAACTCTTAACGAGTGTGAAGTTTTGTGGATGGAACATCTATACATGCAATCTATTAAAGAGAAAAAAAAAAAAAGGTGAATTTGGCTAATTTGCTGACTTTGACTAATTTCTTGGCTTTTTGGAAATGCCCAGCTAAAAAAAAAAAAATAAAATAAATAATAATAATTATGAATTGGCAAATAAAACATTCCTTTCTACTTTGCGTCTGCCTGCGTTACAGCTTAACTTCAGCCTTGCGGTTAAACAGGCTCCTCCTCCTGTACTGAAATCACTGCACACTGTGAGTGTCTAACAATGTGTGGCAGAAGCTGCAACAAGTTAGAGCTCCGCCTCCTTTCCTGGATGGAGGGTGTCCAGCATCAGCTGTGGTTCTCGTCTCTGGCCCACCCCATTCAACCCTTGGATTTCAGTTGTTGAATTTATGGAGACCTAACATTACTTAGGGTGCCATGCATGCAAATACAACAACGCCCACCTGTCAAAGCATTTGAAATTTGCATAACTCCTCCCAAGAGCCCACCCACTGGTTGCATCAGGACTGAGGGCTGTGAAGAGGATTACTGCAGCAGCATGCTGTGATTTTCTTTTTCTTGGGGGGGGGGGGGGGGGAGCTATGGTCAGCACCCTGCTGGCCCTCCCACCACCACTGAGACTCCATGATAGGATCATTGGGTCCAAAACGAAGGCATAAACTGCAAATGGAAAGGGTTGGTGTGACAAATAAATTCCTCGAATGGGCTGACCAAAAACCCCGTTTGCTTGCGTATATCATAGCCGCTGTCACCTTCAAGGTAGCCCCCTTGTCAAGTGACACACTTCTCGGTGCCACAGCCGGCAACTTTCCTGGAATTCATTTTCTGGAACGCCATGCGGTGTCTTCGCTGTGCTGGATGTCTGGAAGGATCATCAAATTTTGTGTCCTTTTACGACATTTTTTGATTTTGGAAACTGCCAGAAGTGGACGGGTGCCAAGTCTGGGAAATAAAGTGGTTGCAAATGCCTGCCCCAGAAATCCATTCGGAAACTTGACCAAACACTTGAACGCATGGGCAGGAGCATTGTCGTGTTGGGGAATCCACTTGTCAGGCCAGAGTTCTAGTCTTTTCCTCTGAAACAGATTCTTGTAAACTTTTCATTTTCTACATTTGCATCCGACGTTTTTTGTGTTTTTGGCTGCCCTCTTCTTGCATCTTTGTGTACATTTTCCCGCCCCTCCTTAAAACATCTTATGCCATTCGAAAACATTGGACTTCTGCATGGAATGTTCACCAGAAGCCTGTTTATAACCACTCTAAAGTTTCACTCGCACTTTTGCACAATTGTACAAAATTTGATGTTATTCCGCTGCTCCAAATTCCTGTCGCTTGTTGTCCGGCACATACGTGTTGTGTCTTCTACTACTCCATAAACACCGAGTCCACTGGTCTGCTACCCAGGCGAGTGTGAGAACATGCAAAAACATGCTCGAATGCGAAGGGCGGTGTGACTGACCATCGTGCTACGCCGCGGGCATTCTGGAATTCAATTGTCACACCTCGTATTTCAAATTCTCAGCATGGGGAACCAGGAGCAGAATAAACGAGTTTATGTAATCCCAATCGCTAAAACCTCACATGGCTTTTAATGTTTTTATTGGGAGATTACTGCAGGACCGGAATCCCTATAGATGTGGTCAGCCTGAACGAGCATTTCACAGTCCCAGGAACCATTGCAAATCAACTCAGCCTTCTAAAGTGGAATTTGACACAGTTAACTCTGGATCACCAGTGACTAAAGAAAACTCACATTCTAACCTGATAATGCTCTTCCATGAGTCCTTTAGGACCGTAAACTTCAGAGCTGGATTTGCCCCCCCTGAAGAAAACACAAGATGGACCACCACCATCATAACTCACAAACCTAACACCATAAATATATCCATCGCAGACGTCAAAAGAGAAGGAAATTACCTTCTTGGAACAGCAGTTATCCAGTATTAGATTTCCCAAATCACCCTCCACTTGGGTTTCCTAGAGAGATTACGAGGGTAGTCTGAAAAGTTCATGGCCTGACACAGAAGGAGTGACCACACAGACATGAAGCTTTATCAATGCACCAAGCTATTCAGTAGGTTCTACGCTAGAAAAAATGGAGCATGCACGCTATCTGGTTTTCATGCTCTCTTAGCAAACAGTTGAAACCCCAATGGTGAAAGTGGAAGAAGGCTCAAAGTTCCATCAGAGGGCAAAGTGATAGCAACAGTCTTCTGGGATTCCAAGGGTGTGCAACAGCGGTGGACAAGACTGTTGCCATCACTTTGCCCAATGATGGAACACTCTGAGCCCTTTTATTCCACTCTGGATTACCGAGACTGTACAGAAAACTCACATTATAACCAGATAATGCCTTTCCATGAAGTCCTTTAGGACAGAAAACGTGAGAGATGGATCTGCTCCTCTGCAGAAAACACAAGATGGTCCATCACTCTTCTGGGATTTGAAGGGTGCTCGGCCCACAAGACTGTTGCCATCACTTTGTCCTCTGATAGAACACTCCGAGACCTTTTCTTCCACTCTGGATTACCTAGACTGTAAAGAAAACATAACCCGATAATGCCCTTCCATGGAGTCCTTTAGGACAGTAAACTTGAGAGATAGATCTGCTCCTCTGCAGAAAACACAAGATGGGCCATCACTCTTCTGGGATTCCAAGGGTGTGCAGCAGCGGTGGACAAGACTGTTGCCATCACTTTGCCCGCTGATGGAACACTCCGAGCCCTTTTCTTCCACTCCGGATTACTGAGATTGTAAAGAAAACTCACATTATATCCCGCTAATGCCCTTCATGAAGTCCTTTAGGACAGTAAGCTTGAGAGATGGATCTGCCCCCCCTGCAGAAAACACAAGATGGGCCATCACTCTTCTGGGATTTGAAGGGTGTGCAGCACACAAGACTGTTCCCATCACTTTGCCCGTTGATGGATCACTTAGCCTTTTTCTTCCACTTTCTCCTTTTTTAACTTGAGTACCAAAGAGGGCATGAGAACTGTATAGTGTGTATGCACCATTTTCCGTGCTGACCCTCTGGAGGAGTGGCTTCGTGCAGCGAAGGTCTGAGTAGTCACTCCGTCGGCCCATGAACTTTTAAGACTACCCTAGGCTGGGACCATGGCTTGAAGCATTTTCTTCCATAAAACATATTCTTGGCTGTATAGGAGGTTAATCCAATAATACTTCACAAACTTTAACCTTGGGCCCATGTGGCTGCTGTATGGAAGTGGTCAGCAGAGGGAATGACCCTTCTGGTACAGGATGTGGAGAGAGACCTTGTGGAAGTCACTTTGATGCATAGGGAGCTGGATTTCTCTGCTACAGTGTAGGTCATAATGGCTGACTGGATCCATCTTGCAATGAATATTTTGGGTGCCTTGCTCCTTTCTTAGGTTTGTAGAAGAAAATGGAGAGTGTTGGATGTACTCTTAATGCACTGGAGTATGTAACGTCTAACTTCCAAAGAAGCAATATACGAATGTCATACTTGCAATACTGGTCCCTATTACTTTTGTTGTTGGAGTTGGTGTGGCCCTTTCAGTAAAGGGACCCTTGCTTACCGGATAGGGTCATTAGGAGGAGAAATTCAGCATTCCTGGCCAAAGTGGCCATAATTTGTCATAATCTTTGAGGGATGTCCTTCCGCCATTTCCCTCAGTTCTGGGATTTGATGACCGTAGCATTACTAGGGGTGGACAGTTTGGTTAGGCAACCTTGTTTTCTCAGTGGGCTCCTCAGCTCCATGCACTTCCATCTGTGGTAA